CTTGGTGGATTTTTCCTTTGATGAGAATATAGTGGCCCTCTTTATCTTTTTTGATTAACTTCAGATGAAAGTCTATTTTATTAGATATTAGGATGGCTACTCCAGCTTGTTTTCTGGAACCATTTGCTTGAAAAACATTTTTCAGCCCTTTACTCTGAGGTAGTGTTTATCTTTGTTGCATAGGTGTGTTTCTTGGATGTAACAGAATGTTGGGTCCTGTTTCTGTAACCATTCTGTTAGCCTGTGTCTTTTTATTGGTGAGTTGAGTCCATTAATATTGATAGATAATATTGACCAATGCATGTTAGTTCCTTTTGTAATGGAGTCGATGATCTTACCTTGTTTCATTGCTTGTTTTCTTTTCATTTTTGTTGGGATATTATCTGTATGCCCTGTTTTCTTGGGTGAATTCGTTTTCGTTGGATTGGAGTTTTCCTTCTAGTATCTTCTGTAGGGTTGGTTTGCTGTATAGATATTGCATAATTTTAGTTTTGTCATGGAATATTTTGTTTTCTCCATCTATGTTGATTGAAAGCTTTGCAGGGTATAGTAGTCTGGGTTGACATTTGTGATCTCTTAGAGTCTCCATGATGCTTGCCCAGGCCCTTCTGGCTTTCATAGTTTCTGATGAGAAGTCTGATGTGATTCTGATAGGTCTACCTTCATATGTTACTTGGCCTTTTTCCCTTGCTGCTTTTAATATCTTTTCTTTGTTCTGTAGATTTAGTGTTTTGACTATGATGTGACGTGATGTGTTTCTTTTCTGGTCTAGTCTATTTGGTGTTTGTAGGCCTCTTGTATATTTATGGACATCTCTTTCTTTAAGTTGGGAAAATTTTCTTCTATGATTTTCTTGAAAATATTTTCTGGACCTTGGAGCCTGGAGTCTTCTTTTTCATCAATTCCTATTATTCTTAGATTTTGTCTTTTCATAGCATCCTTGATTTCTTGGATATTTTGTGATTGGAACTTTTCTGATTTTACTTTTTCTTTGAGAGAAGTATCAATTTCTGCAAGTGTGTCTTCAGCTCCAGAGATTCTCTCTTCCATCTCTTGTATTCTGTTGGTGATGCTTACTTTTGTGGTTCCTGATCTTTTCTCCAAGTTCTCCAGCTCAAGAGTTTTCTCATTTTGTGTTTTCTTTATTGATTCTAATTCTGTTTTCATGCCTTGCACCATTTCTTTTATGTGTTTGAATTTGGATTCCTGTCTCTCTACGATGGACTCTATTTCTTTGTTCATTTCCTTTTTGTATGCCACTAATTTCTTCTCTCCTTGTGCCTCTATTTGTTTGGCTATGTTTGCCTGTGTTTCTTTAAGGGTTTTGTCTATTTCTTCTTTCTTTACCTCCAATTGACTGGCCAACTCTTTGAAAGATTTGTTCATTTCCTCCTTATGAGCCTCAAATAATTGAGCAAGCATGGCTTTAAGGTCATTTTCCTGTGCTTCTGATGAATTGGAGTATCCATCGATTTGGGGGTTTGCTGGTGAAGTCATGATGTCCTGATTTATGTTGGAAGCGTTCTTTCGCCTACCCCTGGCCATTGGCTTATCTGAGACCTTCCCTGTTTGTTTTTGGATTCTGCCAATCAGACTGGTACTGTCTCTCTCTCGAGTCTGGAGAATTCTTCAGGAAGTTGAGAGAGGTCCCGTGTCCTTAGCGTGTGCTGAGGACTAGCTGTACCTGTGGGAGGAAAGTACGCAGGCGCAAACAGAGGCAAATGCAAGCGTGCATGCGTGTGTATATGTATGTGTGTGTGTAAGTGGGTGTGGGCGTGTGTCTCGAGGGACAGAGTGATGGCTAATGTTGAACCCTTGAGTGTGTGGGAGGGGCTCTGCAATGTATATGTTGCAGGCGCTAGTGATGATCGCAGCGCAATTTCTGGCATTAACTGCCTTAACTCCTCAATTAGACCCACAGAGCAGGAACTTCAATGTTCCAAGTGCCCCTCTGTTTCCCAAAGTGGGTATATGGGTGGGAGGGGGTTCGATGCCTGGCTTCTGTTTTAGAAGGACCCAGGATCAGTGGAGCTGCAGATTCTCAAGGGTGCACTCACTTACAGGCAGGTCACTTGGCAGAGATCGGGGTATCTGGGCTCTCTGCTCTCTGGTTTGGCCCTGCTTCTTTGATGTGCTCCGCCAGTTCCGTGCTGTTGTCACTGCCAGGTTATGAGGTCTTGCTGCAGCTGGAGATTTCAGGGTGGTTACGTCAGTAGGAATCGGGGTAACCAGCCTTTCTGTTCTCTGGTTTGGCCCTGGTTAGTCTTAAACTGGAGGGCTGATGTGCCCCGCCAGCTCAGTGCTGCTCCGCCGCCAGGTTAGAAAGTCCCGCTGTAACTGGAGACTGGGTTGCTAGTCCAGATGCTTTCTGGGAAGTCCTGGGGTCTCTTTACTGTGCTCTCCAAGCTTCGGAGGCCCAGCGCCTGGTGTGTCTAGCTTGTATGGCGTTTCTGTCTGGTTTTGGTGAGTATATAGCGTATTCTCTGTCACTGTGGGATTGGGCGGGCCGTACCGTCAGTGATAGCGCTCCTGCGGAGCTAGTATGGCGTCTAGCAGACTTGGGCCCTGGGAGGATGGTGCAGCCGCCATGCGAATCTGGGGCTCCAAGACACAGTACTGCTGGCCTTTGCCGATAAAGGGCTTGGGGCTCCGCCTCAGTGGCTGCAGGCCCCAGGCAGTTAGGTCTGTGCTGAGAAAGGCAAGTCTGCTGTGCGGAGAAGGAGGGAGGTCTGGGGAAGGGGACTGCCGAGAGATCAAAGGATCGTTTCTCACCTTCCCCAAACAAGTCCCTGGGTGACCCGAGACCAAGGTTTTCACCTCCTGCGATGTTCCCTGTTGTTTAGAAAGTCTCTCCGTTGTTTCCCTGGCTTCAGAAGTTCTTCCACTCATCAACTCAGAACTTTATCTCTTCCACAGCTCGGAAACTGTGTGTGCTAGTCGCCATCTTGGCTCCGCCCCCAGATTTCATCTTTTCATGGTGTACTTCATTTCTTAGATGTTTTGTGTTTGGAATTTTTCCGATTTTATTTTTTCTTTGAGAGATGTATCAATTTCTGTAAGTGGATCTTCAGTGCCTGAGATTCTTTCTTCCATCTCTTGTATTCTATTGGTGAGGCTTAACTTTATGGTTCCTGATCTTTTCTCTAAGTTCCCCAGCTTCAGGGTTTTCTCTGTTTGTGTTTTCTTTATTGATTCTAATTTTGTTTTCATGTCTTGCACCATTTCCTTCATCTGTTTGAATGTGGATTCCTGTCTTTCCATAATAGCCTCTATTTTTTGTTGTTGTTGTTCATTTTCTCTCTGTATGCCTCTAATTGTGCCTTTATTTCTTTGGCTGTATTTGCTTGTATTTCTCTGAGAGCTTTGGTCATTTCCTCTTTATGTGCCTCTAATAATTGGATAAGCATAGATTTGAGATCATTTTTCTGTTTCTGATTAATTAGAGTATACATTGTTTTTTGGGGTTGCTGATAAAGCCATGAAGTCCTGATTTTTGTTGAATGTGTTCTTATGCCAACCTCTAGTCATCTGCTTGGTCATAAACTTTGCTGCTTATTCCTGGAGTCTGTACTTCTGACTGAGTCCCTTTTGTTCTGGTGTCTGGAGTATTCCTCAGGAAGATGAGAGAGGACTACTGATTCGAGAGTGGATGCTGGTGTTTCATCTGTAGCTAAGGGAGGAATGTCGCAGGCACATGTGTGCAAGTGTGGGAGTATGTGTGGAAGTGTGCTTTGAAGGACAGGGTGCTAGAGCATGCAGATACCTGGAAGGGTGGTAGGAGGGGGTACTGGCAGTGATTGGGGTGCAATTTGCATCTGCAGGTGCCCTGAATACCTCAGTGGCCTACAGGCCTGTTGTACTGTCCTCCTGGTATTCAGATCTGTCTGGGCTCCAGGAATTATTTGCCTGGACTTTACTGATAGACCCACAGAACAGGGCCTTCAATGTTGAGAATGCTGTATCAAGGATCCTCATGTTGCCCACAGTGGGAGTGTGGGTGGGAGGGATGCAATTTCTGTCTGCTAGCATAGAGGGACCCTGGATTTGGGGCTCTTCGTGCACTCACTTGATGATGCCCTCCATTCCTCACAGACCTAATCAGAAAGCACAGGGGATCCCCCTGTTCTCTACTCTCAAATTTGGGCACAGGGGTAAATGAGAGTGTAGGAGATGCATCAGCTCAGTGGTATCCACTGTTTGCCTGCTGGGTAGGGAGACCTGTACTCAGGGCAGCTGCCGCTGCCATCTCAGTCACCTAGCATGGATATTCCTGCTTGAGCTAGCCACCACTCACTGCAGTAGTACATCCTGTACTGCCGCTGCCTCTCCTGTCTCAGTCACCAAGCAAGGAAGTTCATGCTTGGGGCAACCACTGCCAACTCAGCAGGGAGTTGGCAGTGAGGCCTGTGCTTTGGGTAAGGGGAAGCAGGGGGGTTGAATAATCCCCATTCTCAGGCCCTGGAGACCTCCATGGGTGACCTGGAGCCACAGTGTTTTATCTCACAGGTTGTCCCATCTCACCTGGGAAGCCTCAATGTCGATGTTCTGGCTTCAGCTGACTCTCCACTCTTCCATTTTAGAGTTTCAGATCCTGTGCCCCTCACATACTATGCACCCTGCTCACTGCAATCTTGGTCTCCCAGGTAGAGGGTTTTGTGTCTGAGTTAGCGTCCAGGTTCTCTTTCTGTAGCCTGCAAAGTACCTTTTCACGTCAAAGACATAAGAACATAGAGTTGAAGGTTCTAGTTTTTAGTACAATTATTTTTCTTGTTTCAAAAGATAATCTTTACAAAGGTTAAGCAGAAAGCAAATGTGTCAGAAATAGGAGATGAGATTTGTGTATTAAAACAAGATATAGTTGTGAATGTATTATGCTGAGCACATGTGCACAAATATCATGATTGGAAACTGTAAGAGATGAAGAAAAAGCTCCAAAATGTTAAAAATAGTTAAAAATTAAGTTACAAAAGTAAATATCAGTCTCTCATTTGCCAATACAGATGATCTATGTGGCACGGAATGCAAAGGATGTGGCTGTTTCTTACTATTATTTCTACCAAATGGCAAAATTGCACCCAGACCCTGGCACCTGGGAAGAGTTCCTTGATAAATTCATGGCTGGGCAAGGTGTGTCCAACTGTTTCTTTAATTATTATTTAAAAATTAGTATGTTTTTTATAATCTAAATCTTCTGTTTATTATAAAATTAGTATTTGCCAAGCAATCTAGTAATACATTGGGAAGACTAAAGAAAAATGAAACATGCCTTTATTTTTCTTTGACAGGATTTTTGGATAATTTGTGCTATACGTAGGCTCTAGTTCTAGGTTCCTTCATTTTATTAATGATGAATAGCTGTTTTTGGTTTATTTAAATGTTTTCAAATCTCAATGTCTATGTTGTAGTATTTCAATTTTGTGCCTATTCTTTGGATTCTCCTCTTTAGTATTCAAAACTCTTGAGGGACTGTTCCTACAGACTCTGTTTTTTTATTTATATAATTTATTTATTTGGTTATTCCAATTTATTCACTTTGTATCCCAGCTGTACCCCTCCCTCGTATCCTCCCAGTCCCATCCATCTTCCCTCTGCTCTTTCCCATACTTTTTCCCTAGTCCACTGTTAGGGGAGGGACCTCCTTTCCTTCTATCTGACTTTAGCTTATCAGGTCTCATCAGGACTGGATGCATCCTCTTCCTCTGTGGCTTGGTAAGGTTGCTCCCCCCAGGGGGAGGTGATCAAAGAGCTAACCACTGAGTTAATGTCAGAGATAGATCCAAATCCCCTTACTAGAGAACCCTCTTGGAAACTGAGCAGCCTATGGCCATCCTCTGTTCAGGGGTTTAGATCCTCTCCATGCATGGTCGTTGGTTGGTACATCAATCTCTGCAGGCTCCCTGGGCCCAGTATCGTTGGTTTTGTTGGTCTCCTTGTGGAGTTTCTGTTCCCTCCAGGTCTTTCTATATCCTCTGTTCTTTTATGAACAAACAAGTCTCTTCTTCGTCATGAAGCAACTATAGAAAAAAATCTTGAGACACGTTCCCATAATAAACCCCTCTTAGAAGGAAATGTGTATAGGGGGCAGCTAGCATAGACTTAACAACTGCCACTGCTTGAGCTGTTATATATTTCTGCTCTCAATCTCATCAGCATGTCAAAGCCTGAATGCTTCCCAGGAAACCCACACACTACTCTTTCACAGTCCTTTTGCCACTTCTTCTTTTTGTCATCTTATTTATTCACTATTCTCTCTCTTGTGAATTTACATACTACTTACTACTTGCAACACTCAGACTCGTAGCTTCATTTTTTTGTGGTCTTAGTTGTAATTACCAAATGTTATATTAGTTTTCAAGAGTTCCAATAACAAAATATCACAATGAGTGGATTAGATGACAGAAATTTATTTTTCACATTTGTAGGATTTACAAATCCAAGGAAAGTGCTATGATTCATCTACAGTCTTCTTCCATAAACTGTGAGGGCCTACCTTCCTGTTCTCTCCATGATCTTCCATCTTGGTGTATCCATTCTACTGCTGTTGCCTGCAAGTGAACATGGCATAGTCAAGAACTAATTTTATTTACTGTAGGGATCTTTTCTTTAAGTACAATTTCATTGTCAGGTATGTAGTGTAGACATTTCAGCAGATAGATTTTGAGACAACATGAGTCACCTTGTAACAGAATTACTTTTCTTTCTTAAAACAGATTTCAATTTCTGTGAGAAAGTGGTTATCTTATATGCTATCATTCTTATGACCCCCTTTTCTTCAACTACAGAAATCTATGTATATGGGCAGATAATCAGGACTTAAAGAGACATTTAGCTATTTTCTTCTTCATGTAAATAATTTTAATTTTACATTTTGTATTTAACTGTAGTGAGTTTTGGTCCCTGGTATGATCATGTGAAGGGCTGGTGGGAGAAAAGAAAAGATTACCGTATCCTTTATCTATTTTATGAAGATATGAAAGAAGTAAGTAGACATTTCAATTTATTTTTTAAGAAACCTAAGATTTAAATTATTTCTTTTGCTCTTTTTTCTTCATAGTTTTTAAACATAGATAATTTACTTTTAACTCTAATTTTGGAATACTGCATAAATTAATTCAACTCCATCACCTTGGTACTGCTATCCAATCAAAGACAATAAATATCTTTGAAATAAAAATCTGTGTGTTTGCACTCATGCTTTCAAAAAGCTTACTTGCTTCTGAAATATAAAATTATCAAAATACTTACTAAATTCTGGCCTTAATTAAGCCCCTTCTAGCCACACAGGCTCTTCTTGTGTCACTTTTCTTTTTCTCACTGAATCTAAATTAAAAAACAAAACTCTTCAGTTTTGTTCCAATTAACACTACTTTACTAGTGAAGTACATTCCAACTAAAGTCCATGAGCCATGCTGTCATTCAAAACCGCTGTCTAGCAGGGAAAAACTATAATTATAGTTATTAAGGCTTAGTCTGCTCTGAGTTTGGTAGGTCTGACTCAACTTAATCTTGTTTTTTAGAATTCTATCAATCTTTTAAGATGGATAAATAATTCTTTGGCTTGAGAAATTTGTTATACTTTTCTTCAGGAATCATCTCATTGTTCTGTATGTTCCTTAATCAATTCTATAGCTGCTCCTGTGAGACCAACTTTATACTTAGCACAACGATTACATTACATTGTGCCCAAATTATGGGCCTGTAGGAAATGAAAAGTGGGTAATATGGGTCTTTAAGAATTCATATGTTAATTTAGAGAAAACGCCCTTACCTCGTTTGTCATGAGGTTTTCAAGTAAATGAGGTTCAGTCCCCTCAGATATGGTGGACATTTTACATTGTTGGTAAAGAAGGTGCAGAATTTCGCTAGCATTAAAGACTTTCTGTCACATTAGATCGACATTAGACATTTTCATTCTAAAAATGATTATTTCACCCTTCTCCACCATGATTCCACCTGATTTGTATATGAAAGACTTGGCACAACTTTCTTATTTTACTTCTTCATATTCTTAAAAAATATATGTAGGTACTAGAGTTCATAGACTATTTTTTACTGCTAGAAAATTCTTTAGAAGTATAATCTATACTTAATGTAGTATTTTTAAAACAAAGTGGTTGAAGATATTAGTTATATAAAATAGTGATTTGTCTTATTACTATTAATCCTCAAGTTCATTATATTTTTGTATAGTAATACTGAGAAATTTTTACATTTTCTTCCTATCTATTTATTATAATTTATTCATTTTGTAACCCAGCTGTAGCCCCTCTTTATCTCCTCCAAGTCCCACCCACCCTCTTTTTTCTCCCCTTATCCCCCTTCCCTAGTCCACTGATAGGGGACAACCTCATCTGCTTCTATCTGACCCTAGCCTATCAGGTCTCACTAGGGTTGGCTGCATCTTCTTCCTCTGTGGTCTCGCAAAGCTTCCTCCCGACCCCATAGAGAGGTGATCAAAGAGCCTGCCACTGAGTTCATGTCAGAGACAGCCCCTGGTCCCCTTACTACTTGGAAATTTCCCACTTGGAAATTGAGCGGCCTATGGGCTTAATCTGAGGAGGTGATCTAGGTCCTTTTCATGCATGGTCCTTGGTTGGAGTATTGGTCTCTGTAGGTTCCCCTGGGCCCAGGTATTTTGCCTCTGTTGGTCTTCTTATGGATCACCTGTCCACTCAAAGTCTTTCTATCTCCCCCTTCTTCTATAAGGTTCCCTGCATTCTGCCCAGACTTTGACTATGAGTCTCAGCATCTGCTTCAATAAACTGCTGGGTAGAGTCTTTCAGAATCACTTTCTTCCCCCACCCCCTTGGAAGGCTCTTGTCCTGTTCCCTGCCTTTTCCTCCTTCTGATGTCTATCCTGTTTACCCTTCTGAATGAGGTTTCAGCCTCTTCTCTAAAGAATTAACCCAATCAGTTTTTTTTTTAATTTCATGAATTAAATTCTATTCTTGCTCTTAGCACATGGTTGGTATCTTGATTGACTACGGAAATCATTTTGCTTTCCCAAATAATAGCATAAAACTCCAAAGTAGCTTTACAACTAGTTAAGCTTAAACAGACCCTTATTAAGTGCGTTCATTTCTTTGTGACTAAATCTAACTGAATTGATTCATTTCTCCCCTTAACATTTCAGGATCCAAAGAGTGAAATTAAAAAAATATTAAAGTTTCTAGAGAAAGACATACCAGAAGAAACTGTAAATAAAATCCTCTACCATAGTTCTTTCGATGTGATGAAGGAGAATCCTAATGCAAATTACACCACTATGAAGAAAGAGGAGATGGACCATTCTGTGTCTCCTTTTATGAGAAAGGGTGAGAAAAGTGAAAACTCATTTTTGTATTTTGGTCACAGTGTGGAAGGTATGAATAATAACAGTAATGTTTAAGTGTAAGAAATTAAAAGCAATTAATTATGCTTAAGAAAAAAAACCCCTAAAAAGTAGAGAAAGCAAAATCTTTATAAAATATTGTATACTATTTTGTATTATTTCTTAAGATGTAATGAGAGATTTATGATGAGAAGTGTTTCCTTGGTGCCCTGTGTACCAATAAGTATGAATCTTGATACCACTGCTGTATTCAAGAATGCCCTTATTTGTCTGAGTTATCTAAACATGGTTCATGTTCTTTAAATTAAAATGACTGTTTTGCAAATGTAGTTTAAATTATACTGAATGAAGCTAATTGATGAGTGAAAGTGTTAACTTTGAAATTTTATAATTTTGTTATCATTCTGTCCTCAGTATTGAATTCAACATCACTATCTTGTATAAAGTAGATATGCATGAATTATGTATTGAATTGTGTGTATATGTTCACATGTATCTTTGTGTATGAGTAGAAGACAAAAATAGATAGCTTGTGCATAACTTGGTAGATGATAGATGACAGACAGACAAATGGATAGATGAGCGATAGATGAAGATAGTTAATATATGGGTAGATAACAGATAAGTGGATGATAGATAACATGGCATATGTACTAACCAACTTTTCTCTAAAACCCCAGGACCCCGAGGAGTTGGTAATTTAATCACAAGGTTTCTTCTTTTATCTAAACAGTGTACTGATAGGTAATGGTTATTGTGACACCGATTGTTTTTCCTAGCTGCATCTCCTTGTGTTTTCTCTCTCTCTCTCTCTCTCTCTCTCTCTCTCTCTCTCTCTCTCTCCCTCTCAAGCCAAAACCAAAAGCAGGGCCCACACAGGTGACCTGCATGAGACCATGTTACAGATTATGAAAACTTGGCTTGTCTTTTAAACCTTCTTCTCAGAGGTTATGTACCTCAGACTGTCATCACTTACACTGTCCAAAACCTAAAAACCCACATCTGAAGTTTATGAGACAGAAAACAATCACGTAACAAAAGATGAACTGAAGTAGAATATATTTTTATTGTAGAGAAAAATTTATTAGCAGCAATAAAGTTTAGAAAAGTTTTTGAGATAAAGAAGATTTGTTGAGGGGCTATAAAGAAGCAATCAAGATTCATTATAATTTGAATTTTTATAAATTATAAACGATTTTTGTCAGGTAAAGAATTGAGTTATGGTCAAGTTTTACTTCAATATCTCAAAGTATGATTTTGTTTGTTTGTTTCTCTGGGATCAAGCATTTAGTGACACCTTTGATTGTTACACTTAGGAAATAGTTATTGGTGTCTAGATGACCTAAAATATAACTGGAAGCCTTGCTTTTAAAATACCCAAGAATTTTCTGTATCAAATGGCTCTATTTGACATTAAAAACTAGTTTTCTAATTGTGTTTCTCATATTACTAAGGATTATCCTGTGAAAACTATAATTTAACGAAATTATATTTTTATTCATGGTATGTCTAATTTCATTCCATAAGGATTTTTGATATTTTAAGTATATATAAATCCCAGCAAGTACAGTAAGCAAATATATATAATTACATTTACCCCCAGTAATATCAAATATGTCTTGATAATAAAACTTTTCTCATAAGACATCATTTCACCCTGTTAATTAAAGCTTTAAAATTATTGAGAACTTAGGATTTTCTTTTTTTTTTTTTTCATATAAGATACTTGTAAAATCTACAGAAATTGGAAGGCTAAGAAAGTTTAGGTCTACAATTAGATATGGTTGGAAGTTGAAGATTATATTTATGATGCATATCAAAGTTAAAAAGCATACATAAACATTCAAATTGATAACTCAGATTTGTATTAGATGAATATTTAATAGTATTCCAAAATTTTTCCATTGTGTTTTACAGGCATTTCTGGTGACTGGAAGAATCAGTTCACTGTAGCCCAGTATGAGAAATTTGAAGAAGATTATGTGAAGAAAATGAAAGGTTCAACACTTAAGTTCAGATCAGAGATCTAAGGAATATTTGTTTCTTCTCAATCCCGTTTGGCTGGCACTAAAATTAGAGAAAAAAGCACATTCATGGTTCAGTGAAATAAAATTTGGTATATGAGTTTTCTATATTTACTGACTCATGATTTACAAACCTAAAAACAGCAGGTAATAATTTGCTTCTAAATCTCTTCCTTGCAGTAATAGGTTCACACAGTAGTGTCCTCTTTACTTCCTGTTATGAAAAGGGCACAATTTTAAGAGCATTTATAACACAATATGGTCCTAGTTTCAGCTTTCTGTCCCTCTGTATATGGTCTTCATTTTCTCAGGACATAGGTTTCTGAATGATGTTTGTATCCATGATTAGATTACCCTTTAGAGAAAGATTTCATTTCATTAACTCTAATTCAACTTAATCTGCTGTTATTTTACATCTAAAAACACCATGTTTTTAACATTGACAAGTTATTCAAATTCATTATGTCAGAATATCCCATTTACCCCTATGGCTAGTTTAGGAATATTATATTATAAATGAATGAATCAATAGCACATAATTTATGAAATTCAAAGTAAAGATCTAATTATTTCTAATCTTCATGTCAGATATTGAAGGTATTGTGAAATTTATTTGCTGAAAATGTGAGGTTTGTTCAAAATTTTCCAAATCACTATTCTAATGTTGTGTCTAACGCTATTCTACATTATGCCTATTTGGTATCACTTCTGAGAGGAAATCTCTGTACAATAAATTAATTTCACTAATCTCTCTTCTTCATTTTTTTTTTTGCTTTTGTTGAGTATTACATTGAAGGATTAGATAACTGTCTGTATACTCAGAACTAAATAACAGTCTTTTATGTGCAATAGAGAATTTTTTTCCTTTTTTAAAATTTTTATTTATTTATAATTTATCACAGCTTAGTCACTTGGTATCCCAGCTGTAGTCCCTTCCCTCGTCTCCTCTTAGTCCCACCCTCCCTCTTCTACCCCTATTCCCCTTCCCTAGTCCACTAATAGGGAAGGTCCTCCTCCCCTCCTATCTGACACTAGCCCTATCAGGACTATATGAATCTTCTTTCTCTGTAGCCTAGTAAAGCCCATCACTCACAAATTCCAGGTTCTTCAGGCTTTCAACACAAATTTACTCTAAGAACTTTTCAGAGAGCTTCTTCAGGTTCCATCTGAATCATGGTATCTGTGCATGCTTAGTCATTCCAGAATGCCTCTTTCTATTTGTTCCATCCAAAGTCCACAAACCCTCAGCATATTCTAGATATGTCTCTCAGTGTAAACATTCAAACTCAATGCCATGATATGGTGAAAGTTCACCCTCTAATGAAGTTGGTAAGTAAGTATATTTTCACCCAAATAGTACTTGAATGTAGAGACCGTAGGGCCAATATTAATAGCAGAAATCTGCTTCTGATACTGTGATGCAAGGATTATAATAACTTTCTTACTGTTAGCAAAGTTAAGCAGGATGACAGATATCTTGAGAAACTCATAAAGCCAATATATAGGCAGAAAGACTACAAAATGTAAAATGTTAGCATTGTTTCTGTTATACTGGGCAATGAGTTCTCTTTTAAAAAGAATTATTTATTAGTTATTTATTATATATACCATGTTTTGCCAGCATATATGCATGCCAAAAGAGGACACCAGATCTCATTGTAGATGGTTGTGAGCCACCAGGTGGTTGCTGGAAACAGAACTCAGGACCTTTGGTAAAACTGCCAGTGCTCTTAACATCTTAACTATCTGTCTTAAGAAACCTCAAGGGGCATTAGTAACTCTGTAAGGTCCAGCAAAAGTTCCAGTCTCTTAGAATATAAGAATTTTTCTTTTCTTTTCAATTGATTTATTATTATTATTATTATTTATTCACTTTGTATTTTGGCTATAGCCCCCTTGCTCATTCCCTCTGGTCCCATCCTTCCTCCCTCTTCCTCCTGCTATGTCCCTCCCATAGTCCACTGATGGGGAGGCCCTCCTCCCCTTCCCTCTGACCCGAGGCTATTAGATCTCATCAGGATTGGCTGCATCTTCTTCCTCTGTGGCCTGGCAAGGCTGCCCCTACCCTTCATCAGGGAAGGTGATCAAATAGCCCTCCACTGAGTCCATGTCAGAGACAGCTCCTGATCTCCTTACCAGGGAACACACTTAGAAACTGAGCTGCCCATGGGCTACATCTGGGCAGTGGTCTAGGTCCTCTCCATTCATGGTCCTTGGTTGATTCATCAGTCTCTGCAGATTTTTTGGCTCCGATGATCTCCTTGTGGAACACCTGTTTCCTACAAGTCTTTCTATCTCCCTTTGCTTCCATAAGATTCCCTGCACTCTGCCCAAAGTTTGGGCATGAGTCTCAGCATCTGCTTCGATACCCTGCTGGGTAGATTCTTCTTTCAGAGGCCCTCTTTGGTAGGCTCCTGTCCTGTTCCCTGTCTTAATGTTTATACTGTTCCCCCATCTGAATGAGGAGTAAGCATTCCCTAGTAAGCATGTCCTCAACCACACAACAAGGACGTTTTCTCGACTGTGCTCATAGCAGCTTTATTCATAATAGCCAGAATCTGGAAACAACCCAGATGTCCCTCTGGAGGAATGGGCACAGAAATTGTGGTACATTTACACAATGGAATACTACTCAGCAATTGAAAACAAGGAAATCATGAGATTTGCAGGCAAAAGGAAAAGATCATCCTGAGTGAGTTAACCCAGAAGCAGAAAGACACACATGGTGTATACTCACTTATAAGTGGATATTAGCCATAAAATATTCAATAACTATACTAAATTTTATAGTCCTAAAGAAGCTAAACAAAAAGGAGGACCCTAGAGAAGTTGCTCAATCCTCATTCAGAAGGACAAACATTATAGGCCATGAGTTCTTAAAGTAGATCTGGCATTTTTTTTTTTTTTTTGGTAATAAGTAATAGTACATGCTGCGGTAGTCTGTACTGTAGTGACTCACAAGCCCCAAAAGACTTTTTCTACTGAATCACTCTGCCCAGTAGATAAACAACAACAACAAAAACCAAACAATGGCAATGGTATCCTGCCTGTGTTTACCAATGCCTATGGCATATGGCGTTTTATATAGAAAGCTAAGCAACCCAGAAGAATATTGGTGTTTTCTGTAGCAGAATTGTATTGACAGTTCACGAAGAGTGAGTAGTTAAAATGAAAAGCAGCATTGAAGAACAGATGTTCAGATAACATTTCCTATTCTCCGATCTTTAAATGACCACTTAGAACTTAGCTCCTTTCTTAAGCAGAATAATAGAGATGGAAAAGAATGCAATATAGATATCTCAATGAGATATCAGAAAGCCTGATTGCATGACTCTATTTGACACAATTTCCACTTTATGATACAGACATAATTTGTAACACTTTTTATTCTCCTATATGAAAAATAGCAAAACATCATTTTTCATTTATCAAAATATCAGTAATTGGGCTCTTACCAATTTCAGCTATATCATTTACTTATAATAAAACACATTTGAAAAATCTTCCAGGACTTCTGTAAGAGAGCAAGGCAGATAGAATCCAGCTGTAGAGAAAGAAGTCAGCCTTTTAAACCTGTGTTGGTAGCTGGGGAGCACAGACATCTTTGTACTTAAACTGGACACTCTACAGAAAATATTTTTAACCTTAGAATTTGGTGTTGAAAAAATAAATGTTTGGAACTGATGAATACACATGCAGGGCAATTGCTGTACTTCCAGACCTGTGTTTGGTTCCTAGCTTTCACACGGGGTACACCTCCCCCCCCTATAACTCCAGTCCTAGGTATCTGACAGCCTCTTCTGGCCTCCATGGACCTTAGGCTCACAGGTGGTATGCATACCTACATGCAGACATACACATACCATGATAATACAGACAAAATACATTAGAAACATTTTGTTCAGTACTATACTAGACAATATAACAGGATAGCTACCATTATCTCCACTCACAAAAGTGGATATAGATCACATCTTTAAACTACATATAGTTATATATCAGCTATATAATTATAAACTTTATATAGCTATAAACTTCTTGGTCAAGAATTCTGGTAGCCTCTCTGCCTCAAGATACAGAATTTCTAGAATGTGAAAAAAAAAAAAAAAACAACAACAGTCCACTCATACATACAGTCTTTTTCAGAATTGGACACAGAGGACCTAAAGGGAGTAAGGATTTGTCATCTTATTACAGACTACACCAGGTCTTCAAACTTATTCCCATTGCTGTGTCATAGATGTCTTTTCCCTTAGCTCTGGGAGAAATGGATGGCTGAGTGTTTAGAAATTGTATGGAATAAAACAAAGTATCCCTTCAAATTAGAAAATAATAATTAAACAAAATCTAATTTCAATGACTTCAGTATAGTCTGAGCCTATCTCCCCTTCCACAGGATGGCACATGCTGAATTTGTCCCATGATTATTTGGGGCTTCAGTGCATGACTTTTTGGTTAACTGAATCTGTACACAAACATTTGCTTGTGTGTGTTTATATCAGAAGGAAAGCCAGATGAAGTATTTTTCTCAGTAGTCCAAGCCTGCAGTTACTGTGGGTAGAATAGCAAACATGGGGGAGGGGGATACCTACTGGCATTCTGGAATGGTCCCAAACATTATTCATAGCGACTTATCTATTAATGTAAGGATGGAGATTTAACGTAAGTGGATTACAGTGATTGAGTTGCAAGAAAACACACAAAACAACTAAGTATAGTCTGTTCTGGTGGGAACAGCAAAATGCCTGTGCTGTGAAATTGAAACTTAATCTTTTAAGCCAGTGGAGGTAAATCATTTCCTTCTCCCATGGAACAAGGGTTGTTTACTTATTCTCAGTTACCTACACTTCTTTTCATCCTAAGACAACTATTTATCAGAAAACAAGACATTCTCCATCGTGGAACAGATGTTTCATCTATTAAAACGCTGTTATTTTGCATCAAATTCTAATGTTTTACAATGCTGTGTTTGAAGTATGGAATTCCAAATGATGCTTCAGACTTTCACGTTGGTAGCTTAGGATGTTATGTGGATGGCCAAAATACATTTGTCTACCATGCTTTTTATTATCTTAGATTTATACATAAGCTACTGAATTAAAATAAGAATTGGAAATCAAAAATATGTCACATGACTAAGATTTTTTTTGAGTTAAGTAACAAAAAAATTTCTGCAGTCCATAAACAAAATAAATGCATAACTGAAAATGATTTGTTATAGAAAATACTGTTTACCTCATGATCTAATAAAATGCTCAGTTAAAAATAAAAACACCTTTTTTTCCATTCTTTTTTTAATTAATTACACTTTATTCACTTTGTATCCCCCAATAAGCCCCTACCTCCTCCTCTCCTGATCCCACCTTCCCACCCCCTTCTTCACACATGCCCCTCCCCAAGTCCACTGATAGAGGAGGTCCTCCTGTCCTTCCTTCTGATCTTAGTCTATCAGATCTCATCAGGAGTGGCTGCCTTGTCATCTTCTGTGGCCTGGTAAGGCTGCTCCCCCCTCAGGGGGAGGTGATCAAAGAGCAGGCCAATCAGATTATGTCAGAGACAGTCCCTCTTCCCATTACTAGGTAACCCACTTGGACACTGAACTGCCATGTGCTACATCTGTGCAGGGGTTCTAGGTTATCTCCATGCATGGTACTTGGTTGGAGTATGAGTCTCTGGGAAGACCCCTGTGTTCAAATTTTAAGGCACTGTTTATTGTAGGGAATTTCATTAAAATGTAAATCCTACGTCTACATTGGAACCTGGTGTCCTGCATTTCAAAAATCTCAGAAGACACCAGTAGCACAAGTACTTGTACATAGACCAGATATGTCAGTTTACATTATAAATATAAATATAAAAAAGTATTAGAAACTAAATTAAAAATTAAGAATTGATGGGTAACTTCACCAAGTATAATAGAAACTGAATACCCACAATTCCAAGATGCTCAATGTAGCTGAAGTCAATATTTGCATGTGTGGGCATATTAACACATAAACATAGAAATAACCACAGTTGGGGGCATCTTGAGTCATTTCCTTAAGAGTTTTGACAAGAAGGCAAACTGAGTGCAGTACTTTCACTTTAAAAGTCAGAATGTCAGAAGACTAGCCCTAAAGAACAATGAGGTACAACTAAGGTGCTGATATTTTACTGTCAATGGAGAATTTTTAGCATATTTTTTCTGAAAAGCTACTTAATTCCCCAGATACATTGCCACTTCCTTTTAAAAACTTCTGTTGAAGACCTTTGTTCTTTTGTCAGAAAGCCAAAGGCGGCCCTGGCCAGTCTGTACTGTTACTCCCACAGGACAGCCTTTGTGTTTCAGTATACTCTGTGATAAAATCAAAGGTCACTTTACTCTGTGCTTTACACTTTACTCTTTACAAAGTACTGTACTCTGGTGTCTGAAGCTTAATATTTCTCACAGAGATTCTGACTATTACTCGTTCTGCTCCTTCTATTTCTCCACAGTTTAATAGGCTCTTTCTCCATAGTCTATTCAGCGTCTGTAGAGTCTGCTACAAAAAAAAATGAGCACCCCAGAAGATGTTCGGAGAAAAGATCTGACGATGATTCATGGCTATCCCATGGTCTATGCTTTTGCACTCAATTGGGAAAGGATTGAGGAGTTCCAGAGCAAACCAGATGACCTTGTGATAACTACTTACCCAAAATCAGGTAAATACTGCATCCCAAATAATGAAGTCTAACCTTACCTTTTTTTTTTGACTCAAGATTTTATTTTATTTATTTTTAAATTTATTTTTTTTATTAATTACTGTTTATTCACTTTGTATCCCAGCTGCAGCCCTCTTCCTCTTCCTCTCCCTATCCCAGTCTGTCTCCCTTTTCTCTTCCCAAGCCACTCCCCCAATCCAACTGCACCTGGCTTGTATAAATTTTTTTATTCATGCATATGATGGTATTTGTTTGTATGTGGGCGACATGTGCTGTGGGTGCCCAAAAAATTGAGATGAATCCAATCTCCAGTGCTGGCATGGGGTGGGGCACCTGTTAAAGTTCAGAGGGGGGAGAGGAAAGGGACACATGATGTTATTATATTGTAATCTTAAAAGCATCTATTTATTTAAAAAATCATGAAAAAATGTGTCATGTTTACATGTGTGAGCTTCTCAAAGAATAAGTCAGTAAATAAAAACAAACCATTAAAACAAGCTGCTCATTGCTTTTTTAAATGCTGGCTTTTGTTACAGGTACTACTTGGCTTAGTGAAATTGTAGACATGGTTCTAAATGATGGAAATGTTGAAAAATGTAAGCGAGATGTTATTACTTCTAAGGTTCCAATGTTGGAACTGAGTGTCCCTGGACAAAGTATATCAGGTAAACTTAAATCTCTTGCAAATTGTAATTTTGCAAGACTATTTTCACCTAACATATTCCTGTTTATAATTACACCTAAGAAAAAAGAGAAACAGAGCAAAAATGTGTGCATAATTATAAATTAAAAACTAACTCACTGAGTTGAGTTAGTTATAAAATTATTAGTAAAATATGCATTCTCTCATCAGGGAATATACAGAAACACTATAACATTAGAAAGCAAATCAACTGTACAAATACTTTAGAAATCAATCTGGTGCTTTCTCAGACAATTAGGAATAGTGCTTCCTTAAGATCCAGCTATACCAGTCCTAGGCATATATCCAAAATATGCTCAAGTATACAACAAGGACATTTGCTCAACCATGTTCAAAGCAGCTTTATTTGTAATAACTAGCATCTGGAAACAACCCAGATGTCCCTCTGGAGTAATGGATACAGGAATGGATTCCATTTACGCAATGGAATACTACTCAGCAATTAAAAACAAGGAATTCATGAAATTTGCAGGCAAATGGTGGGATCTAGAAAAGATCATCCTCGGTGAGGTATCCCAGGAGGAGAAAGACACACAGTATATACTCACTTGTAAGTGGATACTAGACCTATAAGATAGGATAAACATACCAAAATCTGTACACCTAAAGAAGCTAAACAAGAAGAAGGACCCGGGATAAAATGATCAACCCTCACTTAGAAAGAAAAATGGGATAGACATTGTAAATAGGAGAAAACAAGAAACAAGACAGAAGTCTACCATACAGGGCCTCTGAAAGACTCTACCTAGCAGTGTATCAAAGCAGATACTGAGACTCAGAACCAAACTTGGGGCAGAGTGTACAGAATCATATGAAAAAAGGGGGAGTTAGTATGACCTGGAGAAGATAGGAGCTCCACAAGTACCAAATATATCTGGGCACAGGGGTCTTTTCTGAGGCTGATTCTCTAACCAAGGACCAGGCATGGATATAACCTAGAACCCCTGGTCAGAGGTAGCCCATGGCAGCTCACCATCCAAGTGAATTTCCCTAGGAAGGGGAACAGAGACTGTCTCTGACATGACTCAAGTGGTGGGCTCTTTGACCTTCCCCACCCTGAGGGAAGAGCAGCCTTGCTAGGTCACAGAGGAGGACATTGCAGCCAGTCCTGATGAGACCTGATAAACTAGGGTCACATGGAAGGGGAGAAGGACCTCCCTCTCAATGGACTTAGAGAAGGGCAGGAAGGAGATGAGGGAAGGATGGTGGGATTTGAAGGGAATGAAGGAGGGGGCTATAGCTGAGAAACAAAGTAAATAAATATATAATATATAAGAAGCTAAACAATATAATTAATATAAAAATATAATAATATAAAAAGTAAAGAAAGCAAATAACTTATATCAGTTCTACTAATCTTACAAAGCCAAAGGCTAAGACAGTATGAGATGTAATCATAAGAAAGTTGCCTTACATCCATCGCTTGTCCATTTCTAGCTACACCTAATTAAAGGCCCAGAATTATACATGTATTTTGACACATGAGGCATCCAAGTGTTAACAGATTGATGTATAAAAATCTTTAGGGTGATATATGGACTAAAATAACAGTGAAGAAAGGGGTTAGAGTAGGATGTGAAGCAATTTTAAAGCCGTACAGTGATGGATTAAATAAGGTGTGAAATGCTTAGAAGTTTCTTTAATTTTATTCTAAACATGGTAGGGAAGAGATTGAACGGCTTTAGGGAAGTGCGAGTCAATAAGTAGCAGTTTTTGGGTTGTTAGAGCTATACTTGGATTGACTGACAGACAGATTACCTAAGAAATGTGAGAAAAATGAATGAAAGTTGAGTCCAGTTTTATTTAGGTCAACCAAATATTCTATGAAGCCAGGTCTTTATTTGGAAACTAGGGAAGGATGTATCTGGGTAAGATTATTAATAATTCTGTATGAAATGTTAGACTTCAGGTATTGAATATTTTAAATAATCAGTTGAAAGATAAACAGCATAAATGTCCCTTGGTGGAGAGACTGTTGACCCACAAATTGTAATACAGTATCAAAATATGATGGTTATTCATTAAAAACTACCATCATGAAGAGGAGCTAGCAGAAAATCATCAAGCTAAGAAGGAATGGAAAGCATGGTCTTATAGGCAAGTGTGGAAGGTCATTTGAAGTGAAGCTAGATATAGAACACAAGATACTCCCATAAGAGTGGGAATGACCCTTCCCACTCTTCAATTTAAACAGCAGAACGTGAATCCTCTCCTGCACCAGAGATGGCTCATAGCAAGAAGGTTTGTAACTTCCTGAGGCAGGGCTCTGTTGATCCTTAGCTGCTTTCTAAAATACAAGGGAAAGATAAAAGATTGGAAATTAACAATAGCTTTAACACCACAGAAAAATATAAAATGAAATAAAAAACAAACCAAATAATGTAGACAGAGGAGTCTGGGATTACTGGTGAAGGTGCGGGTAAGGTGGAGTAGATTGCCATTGATCAGTTGAAGTTTAACCAAGAGATGTACTTAGATTTACTCTACAGACTAAGTGTTAGTACCTAGGATGTTTTCATATACTACTAGCAGTTATAATCATGATATAAAGGGCTCATTTAAACCACCCTACTTGGAAAAATGACTATGAGAGAGGATAATGAGAAAGCTTTTATGAAAGTTGAGGCAGGGACAAAGGAGAATAGGCATGGGAAAGACAGTCTGAAATTAACAGAGGGAAGCTGGTGCCTATAGATTACACTTTTCATTTGAGAGTACATTTCAGTACAGAGTAACAAGGCTGTAGCTTCTAATTTGGAGACATGAGATCCATGGTGGAATTTTGTAATTAATATCTTTAGATAAAATCCAGGACATCTAACTTCCATCTACATTTAAATATTCAGACTACAAATCATTTAATTTAGTATAAATTTATCTCCTAAAATTTATAGGAGACACAAATGAAAAATATCTGTTATTTACCTAAAACTCAAATTTAACTGGTCATCTTAGATTTTTATTTGATTTTTAAGACCATATTTCTATTGTTATAAAAGGACTTTGTTTAATAGTTCCTGTGGATCATGGAGTCCGGCCAACAAGATATTCACTGGTAAATAACATAAATAACATTCCTGTTCTTAGAGAGTTTCCATTCTAATGAATGTATATTATTGAGCAGGCATAGGCAATAAGTATGGGAACACAGGAAGTGAAAACATTTCTGATTTTTTTTCTTTCTTAAATTTTTTTGTTTTCATTTATTACAACTTATTCAATTTGTATCCTTCTGTGGCCCCCTCCATAATCTCCTCCCGATCCCGCCCTTCCTCCTACTCCCATTTCTGTTTTGTGGAAAGCTTCCCACAAAGGCTGGCATAAACATCTCTAAGCAGTCTAAGCTGGTTTTGAATTTAAGATCCTCATGCCCTAACCTCTAGAGCATTAGGGTTAAAAGATTGTGTCATGATGAGAAAGTACATGCAGTATTACATACAAGTAAGTGTTTTGTAGAACACTGGGACTAGAAGTTATATTATAAATTAAAAACAGTTAAAACAAGTGATTGTCTGGAGGTGATTAATCTGATGTAAGTTTTTTGAGAAATATATTTCCTATGCCAAAAAATAGCAAGGGTATGCTCTATTAGGAGACGGTTCAAAGATAAGAGTAGATCTAAGTGATATTGAAAAGAAAATATACATAGGACTTTAAGATTTGTAGGAAAAGATCTGAGAAAAATAGTGTGATAAAATTCCAAGTTACTAAAGTAGTGTTTTTATTCCTCATTTTGGGAATAAGAAAATGAAACTTAAGACTCTTAAGAAAGTAGTTTAAAAATATTTCACAATGTGTAAAATGATAGTAGAAATGTTAACAAAGTGAGGTAAATGCCAAACCTACAGTGTTACCTGTCTCCTGATATGAGTGCCTGGAATAAAAAAAAAATACCTGTAGCTGATTTAGAATTCATCCCCATTTAATATTGCTCAAAAATGAAAGAATGGTTGGAGGACAGTGAGCGAACTTAGCAGGAAAAAGTTATTGTTGCATAGGTAGAAGGATCTAGAAGTCTCAGTGCAAGGAAAGGATGGACTCTTGAATGTTGTCCTGTCTTCCACAAGAGTTCTATGACAGATAAATGACACCTACACACACACACACACACACACACACACACACACACACTAAAATAGCATTTACAAACATTCATGGGAAAGATGAAGAAATCTGAGCTTCTTTGATATTCTGATCTATGTTCTGAACTGAAATCTGCAGGCGTTGAACTCTTAAAAACGACTCCATCACCTCGGATTATAAAGACACATCTACCAATTGATCTACTCCCAAAATCCTTCTGGGAGAACAACTGCAAGGTATGTTGTGGGATTCAGGCCTAGCTTGCATTTATCTGTTTATCTGTCCATTTATCTATTCTTATTGTGAGAAAGAGTAGCAGGCTTTGTGACACAGAAAACTATACAAGTAAGTGCTTAGTTTTCTACTCTTCCCTCTTCTTTTCCCTCCTCACCTCTTCTGGTCTTTCCCTTATCTCCTTTCCCCTCCTCTCCTTCTGGCTTTGTTTTGTTGGTTGGTTTGAAACAGGGTATCACTATATATTCCAGGCAAATCTTGATATTGCTATTATCCTTTTATTCTTCCTTCCACAGCTCCTAAAATTCTACAATAATAGGAGTTTGCACCCTTGGAGGGTGCTACAGCCAGGATACAAAGTAAATACATTGTAATAAAATTTTTAAAATGGATAAAATATATTTACTCTCTGCTTAGTCAGAAACATCTGGTTCTCCATATGAAGGCCTTGAGTATTTCTGATCAATGTTACAGCTATTTTGTGGGTCTGATGTTTTGTTCTTAACTGTTTCTTTCATTTCTTTATGCTTTATGGTAATAGGCTTTGTCATGTTGATACATTTTTATGTTAAACTTATATTTTCTATAACTCAAAAGTTATACTAAACTAAAAAGTGAAATATATATTTTATTAGAATTTAAAAAGACTTAAAGATTTAGATGAGCCAAATTCCATAATTTATTGGTCTAAAATTTTGTTTCCTTCAGAGAAATATTATGATCCATATCTTCTAGAAGTAAGATTTCTCTGCTATATTATTTACTTATAAATAAATATTTTTCTTTATTTTTAATGCACCATCCTTTGCTTTTCTTCTTCTCTCATGTAGATGATTTATATGGCTCGAAATGCCAAAGATGTTTCTGTTTCCTATTATCATTTTGATTTAATGAATAACTTACACCCTCTTCCTGGCACCTGGAAAGAGTATCTGCAGAAATTCCTAGCTGGAAATGGTAGGTAGGCCATTAACTTAAAAATGCTAACTAGCTTTTATTTACCATCCACAGGGTCAGGGTGTGACTCCTGTAGGTGTTCTGAATTTGAAAGAGAAGTGACTTTTTGAGCATCAGCTCCATTTTTTTTTTATTCCTTAATGTGACATAAGCAAAATGTGATATAAGCAAAAAAAAAAAAAAAAAAAAAAAAAAAATCTGCCCATATTCTATACTGCTCAGGGGCCTTTGGCATACCAAGCAAAGCAGGAGCTGTTCCCAGTCAGCACACACTTAATTATGCTTCTGCAGGGTAGCAGCAGCCCAAGGATGCACAACCAGTGTCCATGCCAGTACTGGTCTATGAGAATGTGGAGCTACAGAAGTTAAAAAAAAAACAAAAACAAAAACAAAAACAACATAGTGACCCATAGGGCAATGCATCTGTAAGACTGATGAGTACCCAAGTACTAGTCCAGAGGAACTTGCTGGCACTAGTGTGTAGGACTCCTGGGGTCTCAAGAAAACACGCTCAAGTTGGCATTTCTGATGACTTCCACGTGATCACTTTCAAGCTGCAGCGTACGTGAAGTGCCCATCATCCAGAGCTACCTTATTTTCGAGAATTAAAGATAGAAATGTTTTGATTAAGGATAACACAACTGTCAGTTGCCAAATATATTCATCTACAAGGAGTATAGCTAATGGCTGTTAGTAGAACAAAATACTGTGTCCATGTGTATCATGATGTCACCATATTCCTGTAGAGATGTGAAATGCCCTATCAGAAATTAAATTTAAGTTTAAACGTGAAATAGAATAAAATCTTATTAAATTTAAATAATTTATTTTCTTTAATTTTTTTTAAGTCAGAATGTTTAAGTTCAACACATTCAGGAATTGCTTCCCCATCCTCAGTTTTTGTTCATCATTAGATCTGTTATACATGTTGTATCTTAAATATTTAGATTCACACTTGCTACTCTGTTATGTAAGAAATCTTCCGTGGGCTTTAGCATAACTCAATGGCAGCCAATCAACTCTTACCTGAAATGCTCCCTTTGTAATTTATGCTTTAAAAGTTAATTATATGCTCACAACTATAATCCCAGCACTCAGGGAATCAGAGGCAGCTGGATCTCTGTGAGTTCAAGGCCAGCCTGGCTACAAAGTGAATCTAGGACAGCCAGGGCTACCATGTCTTAACGCCTCCCCCCCCCAAAAAAAAAGGTGATTGTACATCTATAAGTGACTAATTTTAACTTTTTGAAAATTGATCATATATTTTTAGCTTCTTTGATATCTGTATCCCACAAAATGTCTTTGTAACTGACTTATCCTTAAAATTATTTTGATCTGATGAACACTTTTAAAGGTACTATTTTTTCCTGTTTTAGTGCCCTATGGTTCATGGTTCAATCATGTTAAGACTTGGTGGGAAAAGAAGAAAGGGTATCCATTACTGTTTTTGTATTACGAAGATATGAAACAGGTAACATATTAGATATTTATTTCAAAAATTGTGCATACTGTGTCATAGGAAAATAATTAAATTGTAGTTTTCAAGTTAAATTTGGAGTCCAAAATGCAATAGCTGTTTTCTTTTTTCTCTTTATTAATTATAGTTTATTCACTTTGTTTGTTTTATTTTATTTTATTTTATTTTTATTTTGCCTTTTTTTTTAATTTTATTTTTCTTTTTAGTTACATTTTGTTAACTCTGTGTCCCAGCTGTATCCGGCTCCCTCATTCCCTCCCCAACCCCACACTCCCTCCCTGGTCTCCTCCCTGCCCTTTTCCAAGTCCACCCCCTGTATCTCCCTCCCTCCTCCCCTCCCAAGCCCACCCTCTCTCCCCCTTTTCCACACACACCCATCCCCCAATCCACTGATAGGAGCAGTCTTCCTCCCCTTCCTTCTAATCCTATTCTATCAGGTCTCATCAGGACTGTCTTCATTCTTACTCTATGTCCTGGTAATGCTGCTCCCCCCTCAAGGGGAGGTGATCAAAGAGCAGGCCAATCAGTTCACCTCAGAGACAGTCCCTCTTCCCATTACTATGGAACCCACTTGGACACTGAACTGCCATGGGCTACATCTGTGCAGGGGTTCTAGGTTATCTCCATCAATGGTTTTTGGTTTAGTATCAGTCTCAGAAAAGACCCCTGTGCCCAGATTTTTTTTACTCTGTTGCTCTCCTTGTGGAGCTCCTGTCCTCTCTAAGTCTTACTATTTTCCACATTTTTCATAAGATTCCCTGTGCTCTGCCCAAAGGTTGGCCATAAGCCTCAGCATCGCTTTGATACCCTGCAGGATAGAGCCTTTCAGAGGCCCTCTATGACAGGCACTTGTCCTGTTCCCTGTTTTCTCCTTCTTCTGATATCCATCCTCTTTGTCTTTCTGAATGGGGATTGAGTACTTTAGCCAAAGTCCTCCCCCTTGTTAGTCTTTTTAGGTGTACATATTTCAGTAGGTTTATCCTATATTATATGTCTAATATCCACTTATGAGTGAGTATATACCATGTTTGTCTTTCTGCTTCTGGGATATCTCACTCAGGATGATCTTTTTCAGTTCTCACCATTTACCTGCAAATTTCCTTTTTTTTTACTTGTTATTTTATTGCTGAGTAATATTCCATTGTGTAGATGTACCACAGTTTCTGCATCCATTCTTCAGTTGAGGGACATCTGGGTTGTTTCCAGCTTCTGGCTATTACAAATAAAGCTGTACAAACATGGTCGAGCAAATGTTCTTGTTGTGTACTTGAGCATCTTTTGGATATATGCCTAGGAGTGGTATAGCTGGATTTTGAGGAAGCGCTAGTCCTAATTGTAATAACTATTTTCTTATTACTCATATCTCTTATCTGCAAGTCTATCAGATCAGTAATCACTTTGCAATGTTGAAATCATTTATCTATATTTGTTTCTTTCTTCTTTTAGTGAGTATGTGATTTTCAACTATTGTTTCACCCATAAATTCTCTCCTAGACTTACCAGGATATCACACTTACAATTTTGCACTTAGTATCTGTATATCCACCCACTGACTGCTTTCCTTTTTAATTGCTTGCTATAGTTCGACCTTCACTCCTTTATTAAGGTTTTCCACAAATATTTATTTGTGAGTAATTCCCACATGTATATGTATATTCATAACTTTCTAAATTGAATTGCAAACTCATGTTGGAATTAATTTAACGTGTTCAAAAGCACACTTAATTTGTTTTGTTCTCAATCATGTCACACTTTACAACTTTTATTTTCTTCTTTCGATGTTGACTTTATTTTTCTTTTTAGTTTTCCAACATTTCAGTTAGATTGTAAGACTACTATAATTAGAGTCTATCCTTCATGCATTCTAGACTTTGGGTTGAGTCATATGCTTTGTCTTTTGTATCTTTCAAATGTTTCTCTTGAACTTTTTCATTGTATCAATTTTGTTTTTTTTTCAATTTACCTAGTCTCTGTGTGGTAAGTTTGTTCAATATTACTGCAATGTTCTTTGCCACTATGCTAGACTTTTCTACCAAAAGTGGACAATCCTTTCTATTCTCAATCACCATTTAAAATTCACAGACATGTTTCTTTGTTTGAAAAGGTCCAGATATACAATTCAGAACACCTTTCAATTCTCAAATCCATGATGGAAACAAAAATACTGTCAATTTTGAAACTAAACTTATAGTACTGAATATGGTTTTCCCCTTAGAGACTGTGGCTCAGTAGTCATATATAAAAAGAACCTTTGATAAATGTGATTATTTGCACAATTGATTGAATGTAGGAGCCCAAATATTAGTGGCGGCAGTAAGCCCTTGTGTATGGTGAATGTACTTACAGGAAACCCTGGGGAATTTCTCATATTTTACCTCTAGTAATCTGAAATTTCCACTATTTTCATATTGTAGTTAGTTTGTAGCCTAAAAGAGAATCCAAATAACTCATTCTGAATGATGTCCTATATTATCCTTGGAAGAACTTCTGTCCTCATTAAGTTGATGTTATTTATTCAGAGGGACATATACTGGTCAATTCCTGGACCATCTCAACCAGCTGGAATATCCAAACATTTGTTAATCTCCTTGAAATCTGTTAAATACATTATTTTTATTAGAAAGTGTTTTGCTCGTTGTCATATAGTCACTTTTAGACAATGTTTTATAAAAAATATAATATAAGAATAGTAAGAAGGAGTAGAGTACATACCAAGAGTAAACACTCTAAATATCTAAGTTAATATGTAATGTATGAATATATTTTGTATATATAGGTATGTATGTATGTATGTATGCATATAGTTTGGGTCTTGTTTCTTGAGGATATGTTGCAGAGGAAGATTCAATGAGCTCTTCTTTCATGATAATCTGTCTGAGACTGCTTTTTTCTACACATCCTGGAAATATTACCAAAACTTCCCTTAAAGGAAATCCCTTGCCAATACATACATGTGTGTATATAGGCACACATACAGCTAATAATGTGTTTTTAAAAGTTGTTGTTTTCCCAGTTAATATAAGTATAGTTCAACTTCTTCACCAAGATATCCTAAAATGTTATCATTTTTCCCAATTCATTTTAATACAATTTTATTTTATTTAAGTTTATTTACTTTACATCCCAAGGGTACCCCTCTCTCCTCTCTTCCCCCTCCCTTTTCATCCCCTTCCCCTCTTTGTTTCTCCCAAGAAAAGGGGAGCCCCCTCCTCCCACATCAGCCCTCCCCGAGTGTGTCTGTCTGTGCACAAGAGTGAATGGGCTGTCAAAGGCCAGTGGATCCAGCCTGGTCCCTGGAAGCTGGAGTTAAGGGAGGTTATGAGCTACCCTGTGAGGAGACTGGGGACCATGCTTAGGTCCTCTGGAGGAGAGTGAGTGCTCTTCACTGAGCTGTCTCCCCAGCTCATTCTTTTCTTTGTTGAACTAGAGTCTTTCAGTGCAGCACAGCAGACCTTGAATTTGTAATCTTTCTTCCTTCGGCCACCTCGCTGCTGAGGTTTGTATCTCTAAACTAAACCAGAAGAACGTAATTATAAAATCTGACTCATTTTGTAAATTACATGAGTGGTTTACACGTTTGCCATTTCCTTGCATTTATGGTTTAACTCACTGACAGAACCCAAAGGAAGAAATAAAGAAGATCGCCAGCTTCCTAGGCAAGACTCTGGATGAAGAGATCTTGGACAGGATTATCCACCACACCTCTTTTGAAATGATGAAGGACAACCCCCTGGTCAATTACACCCATCTGTCCACAGCCGTGATGGATCACAGCAAGTCTCCTTTCATGAGAAAAGGTATAATTTTTCTGAGTGTAATTCCTGCCTTTAGTTTCTTACAAAAAACCAGGTCTATCTTTTATTTAACTTTTTAAAGCTTCAGTTCTTCATAAGGAATCAATGAAAACTAAAAACACTCAGTCAACCGTTGCTTTATTAGATTCATTCATTTTTAACTTTTTCTTTTGTCTCAAAAGTGAAATCTTTTTTTAAATTTAAATTTATTTTTGTTATTATTAGTTACATTTCATTAACTCTGTATCCTAGCTGTATCCTGTTCCCACTCCTTTATTCTCTCCCAATCCTACCCTCCCTCCCTCATCTCCTCCCTGCCCCTTTCCAAATCCACTGATTGGGGAGGACCTCCTCCCCTTTCATCTGAGCATGTTTTATCAGGTGTGTTCAGGACTGGCTGCAAAGTCCTCCGCTGTGGCCTATCAGGACTGCTTCTCCTTTGTGGGGTAGGGAGGTCAAAGAGCCTGCCATTGAGTTCCTCTCAAAAATAGATTTTATTAGTTACACTTTATTCACTTTGTATCCCCCCATAAGCCCCTATCTTCTCCCACATAATCTCACCTTCCCTTCCCTTCTTCACACATGCCCCTCTCCAAGTCCCCTGATTGGGGAGGTCCCCTCTCTTTCCTTCTGATCTTAGTCTATCAGATCTCATCAGAGTGGATGCATTGTCATCTTCTGTGGCCTGGTAAGGCTGCTCCCCTTTCAGGGGGAGGTGATCAAAGAGCAGGCCAATCAGTTTATGTCAGAGGCAGTCCCTCTTCCCATTACTATGGAGCCCACTTGGACACTGAACTGCCATGGGCTACATCTGTGCAGGGGTTCTAGGTTATCTCCATGCCTGGTACTTGGTTGGAGTATGAGTCTCTGGAAAGACTCCTGTGTTCAAATGTTCTGGTTCTGTTGCTCTCCTTGTGGAGTTCCTGTCCTCTCCAGATCTTACTGTTTCCCACTTAAGTGGGAAATAGATGCACTCTTATAGGCTCCTTGTGACTACGTTGTTTCTTCAAACATTCCAAGTCAGATGTTTTTCTTAAGATGGCACAGGTGTTTTATATGTTTGGCTTTATTGTTATTCTCATTTAAGGCACAAATAATGTAGAAATCTTGTGAATTAGGGACAAGTGTCTTCCAATGATCAAAGAATATTCATTTATAAATTTCAGGAAATTAAACTCATCTGGTGCCCACTCATCTGTGCCTTCAAATGTGCTGTTACTGTTGAACATTGAGGTATAATTACAGGACTGTGTGGAAAAAAATCTCTTCTATGAAATAGTATACTACCTGAGAAATTACATAAGAACATTATATCTCTCAAGATAACTTTTGAAATATGAATTCTGTGCTTAGTTATTAGCCTGTTTTTATCAATGATATTTAGTTTTTAAATGACGATCTATACAGTCATATTTATTCAACATGAGATTATTTTTAAAAGTTTATCAGACAATTTTGTACCAATATAAATGAATATACATCAGTCACCCTTGTTCCAAATTTGAATAAAACTAGTAACACTTTTTTGTGTTCTTTTATATTACAAATTATCTTTGAATCCTAATAAAGTGTTTTTCAAATTCATTCCCTAAGTATCCAGGCTTTCCCTTGGTCCATACTATTTTTTTCTATTCAATTAATGTTTATTCTTTCATGTGTTCTTGTTACTTTTAGGTGTTGTTGGTGACTGGAAAAATTACTTCACTGTGGCCCAAAATGAAGAATTTGATGCCATCTTTAAGAAGGAAATGTCTGACACATCACTTAAGTTCTGCACAGACATTTAGAGTGTTTAAACTGCAACTTGAATATATGATTTTTTGAAATAGTAGCTTGACTGGAAAGTCAAATGGGATGGTGAAGGGGAAATAAATGTGCCTTCAAAACACTGATGAAATATGTCCTACACATTGCTCAGCAAGTAATATTCCAAATTATCTAGAGCCAAGGTCCTTTATCATCTTATTTTAGAGGACACTTGCATAGATTGCTAGGTGACTACTGAATTGATAAAGAATAGTTTGGTGATTCTTGAAGAAAATTCTCAGGCTGAGTTTATGATAACACGGATTGTAACCTGTTCTGTGGCATGGAGCTTGCATTCATGTTCTTGAGAACCATATTTCAAAGAAGACTGTACTTTCCCACTCAGTCTCCCATGTAGCAGTATTTGGAGTTGTGTTCCTTTGCTGTTGGAACAGTCTGCATGCTTGCACACGGACTGCATTATCTTCACTTGTCCTGGTTTCCATTTCCTGAGTATCTGACGTGGGCACTGTCCTCCCAGGTTTTCCTACTGTTGTGAGTCAGCACTCATCCTTTGTCACGATTCTTCTTGCATAGCATAGTTCATGTCCCAGGTCTAGAAGCTGAGGTTTTGGAAATATTCTCTGTATTTTAAGAATTACTTTATTTTGTTTAGAACTCTCCCCTTGAAATGGGAGCTTATCTCTCAGATCCTATGCAGGGGCTACAATCAACCCGGCCTCATGGAGGGTCTTCTCAACTGATTGTTTTGAATGTCTCAGAAGCATCTGTTGTGTGCTAATCAGTTTACTTGGGCCCGAGTGTATAAGGATTCAACCATAGAGCTTTCATTTCACAAGATGAAATTATCACTGCAACTGAAATCTATCCAACCTAGCGTCCAAGGGAGAGTTTCTAGACTGAGAACCACATCTCCTCTATCCAGAGAGAGGAAAGGGATACAGAGAAGGGCCACATGGATAGATGTTTCCATAAACTATTTGTTTCTCATTCCAGATTTGTCTTGGACATGGTTATGCATGACTTCTTGTGTGAAAATGTTCTCTGCCTGTTGATCACATCAACCTGTCAAATTGCATGCAAACCTGTCTGCAAACTAAAGCTGGTTGATGCATTCAGGATTTCTCTGTTACCTATTCAAGGGATGGAGGTCCCATTTACATTGTAGACACAATCTCAACCACAGTCGAGATGAGAAGGGTTGAAATATTTGTGCTTTTACACACAACCTCAGTCGAGATGAGAAGCGGTTGAAGTATTCATATTTTTACAAGTGAGTCTTAGCTACAACAGGTCCCTGATCAAGCCCAGCAAAGAAAGTTTTCCAGTGTAAGTGTAATTCCCTAGAAAACACATCTCTGGTTTAGGGAGATAGCTGTTTCATAGAAGTTATGAAACGTGTGTACTAATGCTTAGAAATACCTTGTAGAAGTTAATTTAGAATATTTGGAGGAAATAAAAAATAATTCCACTTTCTAGGTTACTCTTCTGAAGAAAAAATATTAAGCTCAGACAGGCATATAGAGCATCAAGTTACTTAAAAACAATAAACATCAAACTATGTGTTATAATGCATTGCCTGAAGTACTAGTTCAATGAGATAATTTCTACTTTCCTTTTTGGGAATTAATTATTTTATTAAACTCTTTTCAACAATGATAGCTTTGTAAGCTTGAACTATTTGGGGGCTATTTTAAGTATAGAATGAAAAAAGTAAAATGTAGACTTTACTTTTCAATGATCTTTGTATCTTTTTCTAGCATCTAAAACACTGCCACTAAGTTAATTTACAATGCTTTTGTTTTGTGTTGTTTTACTAATTTCCACAAAAGTTCTATTCTATTTTTTTCAACTGAATTTCTATAATGTAAAAACAGTGATAGAAAGTAACAATGGAAAGTTTCATTAAGCACTTCATGAGCTGTTTATTTTTAAAAGTTCATCACAACTAGATGAGCCTTGCCTGAGTAGACTTTCAAAGGGTCTGCTAGCTGTCCCCTTTCTCCCAGCCTTGCTGTGATGAGATCTGTTTCTGACTTGTCTCTGTCCCTCACCCTACCTGATAAAGTTTCATACTTTGAAGGTTTTGAAGGCTGAGTATTATGTCATATAATTGTCAACATGATTGTTGGACTAACCTAGATCTGTGTTCTTGGGCAATAGTCATATCTCTCTTTCTTTTTAAGGTGGGGACTATGTTGTTTTTTTTTTCATTTTGAAACAAATGTATCTATAACAAATAGCCACATCTCTTGTGAAACCCAACCTTTCCTCATTGGTTTACAAAAGGAAATAATTTCATAATTACTATGAAATTAGATAATAGAATATATTTTAATTTGAAATTAAGACATACAATAAATCTTTTAATGATTTATTTTATTTGTGTTTCTCTGTTCATGCCACATATGTGCAGGTACACAAAAAGAACAGAAGAAGATGTTAGATGTCCTGGAGCTGGAATAACAGGCAGTTGTATAACCCTACATGAGTAGTTAGAATAATAATCGCTGGAAGAGCACCAAGCTCCATTAATTGTTGAGCCATCCTCTAGACCCAGAATGGTGGACTTCTCAAATTTTATTGTTATATTGTTTATATCATAGATCATCCCGTACTGTCATACAGAAAAAAATACCACATTAATTTTACATGAAATGTAACTTAAAGATTCAAATATATATGGTGCCTAATATATATATATATTCATTACAAAAATAAAGTAAGAGGGCCACAGATGACAATGTAAAAGTTCCAAGCTAAAGTCAGTATGAAATCTCTTTAGCTTCAGGGAAATTTCCTGATAACCTATAATTAGATTTATGATTGATATTTCTTTATCAACAGTATCATATGTCATCAACATGTCACCCACATTTTGTGCTTGTTCAGAGTTTGAAGTAACAGTGACAATGACAATAGCATTGTTCAAACTTGTATAGGCTAATTCAAATTCACAGTGTTGATATGAAAGCTTATTTATTAGAAAGGAATGTCTCTGATGAAATTTGCACTACCTCAACAAAAGTTTAACAAGGCAATTTTGCAATGAAGTATATTAGCTACTGACTGTCCTCTGTAGTGTTCTTTTCTATTCATGCACAATCTGTCATAAATTTTATGGAGAAACTTCTTTCTCAAGTTGGAATATAGCAAACATAAAAAGAATAAAGAAATGAAATAGTGCCTTATACTTTGCATTCCTATATCCATTCCTTCAGACCCAAACTGCTATGCATTTTAGAAGCTCTGCAAAGCAAAAGAAATTCTCATCTTTCCCCCTGGAGGTTCTGACTAAGAAACTCTAGAATGAGGCCACACGTTCTGTGTTTTATATAATCGCTTCAAGTGGCTCAGTGGCAGTATTACCTAATACCACTTCCCTTTTCCATATGACTGCCCCATAGGTCAAACACAAAAACGTAAAATGAGAAAAGCAGGCAAAACCCGAAACCAATTTTTTAATATACTTAAAAGATAAAGGAGCTTGGCGAGTCAAAGCTCAACACAGGGTCCTTTCCAAGTATGCAATGAGTTTCAAAAAAACCAAATGGGCAAGTTTTCAGTACAGCCTGCTCTCTGTGTGACCCAATAACTAGGATAATTACTATGTATTGGGTTCTTCTTTGAAGATTTCTTTTGTTATTTCCCTAGAAATTAATCCTTTAACTGTACAATAGGTAAGTTTCTGATGAGACCAGTGTACATGAAAACTATGCCTCCAAGGTGTTTGCCATGCATTGTTTTGTGATCCTATTTTAAGGCGTACATCTGAATTGCAGTGTTTTTCTGCCATAAAAATATATAAGAAATGTGAACAGGAAAGCATAAGTAGCTAAATTAGTAGATATGTGAAGTATATTCAATGCATTATGATGTTCTCATTATGCGCACCACTTTATAACTACATGGGCACCTAGGTCCATAAAGCCAGCTGTAATTTCCTTCAGCAATCACCCCTGCACAGCGGTTTATTTATATAATTACAGAAATCTTAGCTAAATTAGGACAATTTCAAGGACAGTAAGTAAACCCGAGTTAATTTTCAACTTGCTTACTAATTTACTGATTAGCGTCTTTTAGCTTCCCTTCTTCCTCTGACATGTGCCCCTCGTATGATTCCTGGCTTATACAGTCTTCTCAGTCTCTGTGAAGAAGCCTAAGTTCTGCTGATAAAGGCCAAGGACAACCTGCTGATAGCAGGGATCCTTGCAGTGTCCTGGCAGGTCACCAGACCTCCAGGGAGTCCTGTTCCTCCAGCATGGCTCGAAGTCAAAGACAGTTTGACTTTATAGTTGAGGCTGAAGGCCAGGATTGCAGGATCATCACTGGCAAAAATGGCAAAGGAAGGTAATATGGTGGGGAGTCATAGTTTCCTTAATCATGTGTAAATCAAGAGAAATGACACATGTACTTTGAAAAAAAGCATAGAATCATAGTATTGAGCAAGCCATAGGAACAAGCCAGTAAGCAGCACCCTTTATGTGGCCTCTGTGTCATTTTCTGTCTCCAATTCCCTGCCTGAACTGAGTTCCACCCTTGGATTCCTTCAATGGACTGTGATTCAGTATATATCTCCAAATAAACTCTTTTCTTCAGAAGTCACTTTTGATCATGATGGAGCAGTAACCTTAACTAAAACATACCTTATTTTGTGACTTACACGTCTATCATCTTAATAAGATCAAGAAATATTCTTTTTTAAGGTCTGGAAAGAAATGTCTCAATGGATAGAGTATCTGCTGCACATGTATGAAGAACTCAGTTCAGATTCTCAGCTCTGTATAAACAAGAAGTGGACACATAATGCCCACCTGTAAACCCCAGCACTGAGAGGGCTGATGCCGAGCCTTGCTAAACAGCCATTCTCACTGAAATAGTAAGTTCCATATTTAGTGATACAGACCTTGTCTCAAAAACTCATGTAGAAAGTAGTTCAGAAAGACATCTGACCTTTCACATGCACATACAGAACAAACCACCTCTGAATACATGCATACATATGTGCCCATTTACCACACACATATACATGTACGTGCATAAAAAGTACCTTATTAGTATTAAACTTTAAGTAACTTTCTTTAGGTTTTCTGAAGTTGAATAGGAGGAGAAAGGAGCAGACCCTACTCTAGTTATGAAATATTCACTTGGCTGGAAAAATAATTCTTGACTCACTTAAATTACCAAGAATATATCTAGCTACCCCTAACAAGAATTATAACATTTAAGAAAATATTGTAGATTATGGTGATGATAGCAAGTCACATCTGCTAGGTATGTTTGCTTAAGAATGGAGGGAGTTCTAGTCAGCTCTGTTTCCTCTTCTTATACTTCTTCTAAGCATTTTCCTGTTCTGCTGTGTTTCTGTCTGGGTAACAATACATATTCACTGTGGACTTGCTCCACATTAAAATTCCAGCAAGTAAACTGACCACTCCACATCAAGGCCACTCTAAATAAATTCATTTCTCTAAAAACTCCAAAAGTTTGTCTTCCGACTTATTTTCAACTAGTAGTAAAGATTCTGGCTTCTTTCTTGCTACACTAACTCCAGAACCGTCTATATAGCATAAAAATGTGTTATGCAAGCATAATATTATGCAAACAGACAAGAGGATACATTCCCGAAGGGAATCAGCTTCCTGGAAGTCCCTAGCAAGAAACGTAACATGGCCGTCTAAGCCAAAAAGATGTATTTTTTTTACTATTAATTACACTTTATTCATTTTTGTATTCCCCCATAAGCCCCTCCTTCCTCCCCTCCGGATCCTACCCTCCCTCCCCCTTCCTCATGCATGCCCCTCTCCAAGTCCACTGATAGGGGAGGTCCTCTTCTCCTTCCTTCTGATCTTAGTCTATCAGTTCTAAGTCCCACGCTGATTTGGTTACAAGACTGGAATTGATGAGCTCCATTTTTGCTGTTTCTCTATGATTCTTGAAACAGTACAATTAACTATTCAATGAAACATTTCTAATAGATCACTAAAAGCTTTAGCAAATAAGAGTAGAAGGAAAATAAAATTTTAGGAGAGGTAATAAATCAGATTCAGCATCAGGAATTCCTTGTGGAAAAACCAAACATTGTAGGTAGTAAAAGGACAAGAGTTTTAGAGCTTTCTAAAGAAAATGTTTAATCAGGATCTGTTAGGATAAATGCTCTGGATATTCCCACTGCAGTAAAGCTACTACAAAACCATTACCTAACATAGGTATTTATAATGAGGCAGAAAGAAGATAGGCAAACATAGGAGGTCAAAAAGTTTTGTATTATTCTATAAGTTTTATGGACAGGCTAGCTCAAGCATCTTAAGGAAAGATTGTAAATCTTTAGCAAGCCAAACAGAAAATATTCCCCTCAGTGCTTACCTCTAGGGGAGTTGTAAATCTTTAGCTGACCTAGTTCAGAGGATTATTAACAACTCCTAATTAACTAACAATAAACTATGTAAACATACCACAAGTTTAACAAGTCCTTGGCCCTCTACTAGCTAAATTGGCAAACAAGTCACTAGTTCTATGTTTGCTCTGCTTAAAAGGCTGTTAAGCCAAGATTTTTTGTAGACACTGCTTCTACCAGGTTACTCTTTCAGTTAAAATATAAACTTTGTAAATGTTCCGGGGGATATGTCAACTTTAAGGTGCTTCTTTGTAAGATTACTATAAAAGTGTTGGCTTGACTTCAGTAAAGCGCAGAAGATCCAAACCAATACCACCTGGTGTGGGTCTGATGGTCATTTGGCCTATCTGTCCCTTCCTGATATCTGAATTCTCTGATTCTCCCACGGACGCAGGGTTTTTATTTTTAGGTGTTTCATGGTTGACTACTTTGTATTGGATAGACAATTAGGGTGCTTACACTTGGGAGAGGTGAATTCTCCTCTTTTTAAAAAATTCCTTATTAATTACACTTTATTTACTTTGTATCGCCCATGCGGTTTCCTCCCTCCCCCAGTACCAATCCCTCCCTTCCTCCACCCTCTGTATGCATGCCCTTCCCTAAGTCCACTGATATGGGAGGTCTTCTAATTACAGGTTATTCACTTTGATTCCCACTTGTAGCTCCTTCCCTCTTCCTCTCCCATTCCCACTCTCTGTCCCTCTTCTCCCTGCCCTCTCCAAGTCCACTGATAGGGGAGGTCCTCCTCCCCTTACATCTGATCCTAGTCTATCAGGTCTCATCAGAAGTGGCTGCATTGTCTTTCTCTGTGGCCTGGTAAGGCTGCAAACCCCTGAGGAAGAGGTGATTAAAGAGCATGTCAATCAGTTTATGTCAGAGACAGTCCCTGTTCTGATTACTGGAACCCACTTGGACACTGAGATGCCATGGGCTACATCTGTGCAGGGGTTCTAGGTTATCTCCATGAATAGTCCTTGGTT